GCGCCCGAGCCGCCCGGCGCCCGGTGGCCTCGATCCGTGCCGGCTCCGCGGGGAGCGGGCCGCACTCCTCCTCCTGCTGCTGCTCCTGCTCCTCCTCCTCTCGCGGCCGCCGTAGCGCTCGGGCTCCCAGCGCTGTGAGCAGAAATCTAATGAGCTCCAACTGGCTGTTTATGTAATTCCCACTCCCCTTCCCGAGGCGTTGCTTGCGAACCGCCCTTTTCCCGAGCCCGCACCGCGCCGGCTGCACCTTCACCGATCGCGCTCCGCCCGGCCGCCGCGGCCGGCCCTCGGGCTTTCGGCTCCGGAAAGTGTTGGTAGTTTTGGGGGCAACCAGGGATTCTTTTCCCTTTGTCACCACCAATATGGAAAATGGCACAGAGCATCCGCCACTAATTTGGTTGTGTTTTTTTTTTTTTAAATGCCCTTTTCAATCAACCTCGGTGTACCGATCTCCTTTGCAAATACCTTCTGTTCGCCCTTGGTCTCTTCTTATCCCCGCCCAGTGCTGATCCAGCAAACGTTTAAAGGTCGACCTTACTGTGTGTGCCTCTGCCCCTGCGCTCTGCTCTTATCTGGAGAGGGAGGGAGGTGACTTAAAATCCGAGCAAGAACGAGCACTCCTGCCCTTTAAATAGTAATCAATAAGTTCTTTTAGTGACAAGAGGTATTTAAGATTTGGGAAAATATACGGTGAAAGGAAGAGAAGGCCGGGGTCACACTATGCCCTTAGTACATGCGGGAGGGCAGAGTAGAGGAGAACTGGGTTCCTGATTTCACGCGTTGCTGTGGCAGGTTGTTTAGAATTTAGTGCCTGTCATTTTAGCATCGTGGATTTCGGCAATTAAAATAATTCTCCTAACCTCTCAAATTTCCGAGTATTTAATGTATATCCGATTTAAACAAGATAGATCCAGAATGAGCTAAAATACAGGATTTGCTTCTAAAGTGGTGACTAGCAATAAAAATAATGCTGAACTTCTAAAAGTGGCATATGTATGTGTGGGTTTAGCCGGCACAGGTTCCGGTACATATTCTTGTGAGGATGGAGGGAAGAAAAGTCAGCCGTACTCTGGAGGGGCTCCTGAATTCTGCACAGAAACAGTACATAATAGGGTTAGACCACAGTTTTAGTGTAGTCTATATTTTCCGTGAGATTTTTGAACTTTAATAAACAATTTTTAAGCTGTGTATGTCTTGTCTTTTCCAGGCTCCCTAGCCTGCTAGACAGTTTCAAAAGTGCAGTTAAGGGTTAAAAAAAAAAGGGGGGGTGATGAGGTTTACTTTACATTGATGTATTTGGACATGTTTGCTTTTGTTTTGTTTTCCAAAAGGAGCAAAAACGACTGGAGGTGAAGGATAATCTACTCATACCAGCACTTTGAATGAAAACCCGTTTCTCTGCCACAGACTGAACACTTTTCGTTTGTTTGTTTTCTTGTGGAGGAGTTGAAACAAACCTAACTTTGTGGCGTAGCAGCTATGCAGCTTGAAATCCAAGTAGCACTAAATTTTATTATTTCCTATTTGTACAATAAGCTTCCCAGGAGACGTGTCAACATTTTTGGTGAAGAGCTTGAAAGACTCCTTAAGAAGAAGTATGAAGGACACTGGTACCCCGAAAAGCCATACAAAGGGTCAGGGTTTCGATGCATCCACGTCGGGGAGAAGGTGGACCCGGTCATCGAGCAGGCGTCCAAGGAGAGCGGCTTGGACATCGATGACGTGCGCGGCAACCTTCCCCAGGACCTGAGCGTCTGGATCGACCCCTTCGAGGTCTCCTACCAGATCGGCGAGAAGGGCCCCGTGAAAGTGCTTTACGTGGACGACAGTAATGAAAACGGATGTGAGCTGGACAAGGAGATCAAGAACAGCTTTAACCCGGAGGCGCAGGTCTTCATGCCCATCAACGACCCGGCCTCGTCTGTGTCCAGCTCTCCGTCGCCTCCCTTTGGTCACTCTGCTGCTGTCAGCCCCACCTTCATGCCCCGCTCCACCCAGCCTTTAACCTTCACCACTGCCACTTTCGCGGCCACCAAGTTCGGCTCCACCAAAATGAAGAGCAGCGGCCGCAGCAACAAGGTGGCGCGCACGTCTCCCATCAACCTGGGCCTGAACGTGAGCGACCTTCTGAAGCAGAAAGCCATCTCCTCGTCCATGCACTCTCTGTACGGGCTGGGCCTGGGGAGCCCGCCGCAGCCCCCGCTGCAGCAGCAGCAGCCCCAGCCGCAGCCGCC